CAAGAAATAGAATTTCTTAAGATAAAGGTCCAGGTTCATAAGTGCAACTGAACAAATGAGATATGCCAACCAAATACTAACTGTTGGAGGAAACAGCTGGTAAATTTCTGATTATAAAGCCAAGATCTCCAAACTGGGAAAAATGTGCTGACAAAAATTAAGGCAATAATTATGATTAATGGCCAGAGGTTAGGCCCAACCCTTTCACCTACAAATTTTAAAAATTGGATTTGTCAAAATGACAACTGAGTTGAAAGGCTTAGGTGAGATTCCAAGAGGGATGGAGTAATTGACTATGCTCATTAGGAAACAATGATGTGAGGCATAAATATTGGATATATAGGTGGTTCAGTACTTGAAACCAATGCTCATAGGAAAAGGGATCTCTCAAATTTGGAAGGATAATTAAGTTTCCAAAACCAGACAACAAAGAACTCTTGTAGAAGGCCAGGGGAAACATCAAGTCCTACAAACACATCTGCCCCCATGCCAGTCTTGGGTAAAAGTCAATATAAGCAGCAAACTGATGTGACCAACTCCAGTTCCAGAGTTGAAGTTGGAGAAGCAGACAATGAGAGATGACCATGCTACTGAAGCCCATGTAACTTGCTGCCAAAGAGAACTCCCAACTTAAACCTTGTTCCAGACTTAGCTAAATTAAGCAAAGTTTCATGATAAAATTCAAAATGCAAAGGGTTAATATTTCTGTACAAAGAATGATATAAACCACATAGGAAACTGACCTGAAGAATTTCCTGTCTTCTTTTATTTTGTCTGGAAAGAATATTCATTTTTTTTCCTTGTGACATAGCTTCACTGTGGTTTGAACCAACACTATGATTGCTGATGACAACTCAATCTTTGCCTGCTCTGAGATCAAAAAGCACAACATGGTGGATCAGATCACAGACTGGGATGGCCACTTCAATGACCAGCGGCAATATTGACCAGTGTAGGAATTGATCAAGGACCAACCAGTGAGAAGTGTCATACTTTAACTATTTTTCATGTCATTTAATAAATATAAATTTCTTTCAAATTTCTCATCAGAGTAAGAATCTTGTGTTTTTTCATTTACCCCATTCATAATACTCTGGATAAGAGACTTGATGTTCTCTCTTTTCCTCCCCACCCAAAAAAAAATCTTTTAACACATAATGCTCTCAATAAAACTTTATCTTTGTTTAAAGTGAGATTAAATAGCTATATTAAATATAGTCATTAATTTAAAGTATTTTCCGTTTAGAATGATTTTCAACTTTTTCGAAGTTTATCCAAGTATGGCACAAAACTAAGTTTATTAGAGCAGACTACAAGACCATTTTTATTATCAGTGAAGAGTAAACACCCTTTATATTTAAATTTGTCTGCTTGGAAACCATTGCCTTTTCAATTTTAAACAATTAGAAACTGAGATATTTTAAAAATACCCATATTTATGTTGAATGTAACTGTGCAAAATTTCTATAAATTTCATCTATTCTTACAAATCAACATTGCAAGAATTTATTCTAGAATGTCCCTAAGTAAATTATTTTAATGTCATACAGTTTTTCCACTTGGAAAAAAGGGGGTAAAATATTTTTGCTTTGTGTTTTATACATAGCCAAAATCTATTTCTAACATAATTGGCATTGACCGATGCAAATATTTTTTTATTGAAGTTTGGCTGTTGGTAACTCATACCAGTAAATATCAGCAAGCATCTATTATTGTTGACAACATTTTATACTATCATTTGACTGTAAAATGGTCAAAAAATTTTGCATATTTATGTTAAATTCTTGGTTCTTTATTGCAAAATATTTATAAAGCATCTTTTTTTTTTTTATTATTATTATACCCCAAAGTAAGCCACAAACATGCAATGGGTTACTGAGAGTGAAAGAATCTGTGAAAAAATTAAGGAAAGAGGGCAATAAAAGAGCAGGAATTAAGAAGGCAGAAGATGATGAGGCTGCATTTAATTTTTTTATGATCATAGTTGAGATGAAAGCAAGAAACCAGAAGTGAGTTCCACAAGTGAGAAGTGCGAGAAAAGAAACTGTTAGCATAAAACTTAAGGTTACATCTGGCAATTTCAACTGCAAAATCTGCCAATCTACTACTGCACTTAAATTTTTAAAGTTGAGGTACCAAAGAACAATTACCATAAAAATATTTATAGAAAAGGCACAGGGAAGCTAGATTATGGCAGTGGGAATATGACTGAACCTGCGATGTCAAGTCAGGACTCATAACATTGCACATTCTTCATTAAATTATGTAAAGAATCTCTAGATACATAGTAGAAGCACCAGACCAGATGTGTCAGCAATGTTCAATGCATATATGAATGATTGAACTATAAATGTGCAAAAAAGATTCTGGTGAGAAAAATTATCTTGCATAACAGTGAACCAACTTTCTTAGCAGCACATTTAGTAGTTGATTTTATTTAGTTATTTCACTTCATGTCAGTGAAAATGTTACTCTCCTGAAGGTTAGCATCAGCCATGCTGATGGGAGGCAAAAAGATTTTGGAAACATTAAAATTAACAAGCCATTGCTTACCTCAGTTATCAACAAATTGAAGGTAATTTTTAAGATCCATTGCCAATTTGACCTTATTGATTGATTTGTTTTAACAGCTTATCAATCCAACATAGTTGGATTGTAAAAATAATTCTTTTTTTTTCAAGTGAATAACAATGATTTTATCAGACACAATCATACTATTTAACTCATAGGTGGGATTCATACTTTTCCCAAGATAATTTATATTTAATGAACCTGACTAGAATTTGAACTTGGCCCTCCAGTTTCCCACTTTGAGCTGATATTATACTACCTGTACATCCTGAACAGACATATCATTAAGACAGAAGTAAATATTTGTGTCATTAGCATAGATACCGAGTCAAGAACGGAAAACAGTGATGAGGTTGTTGGTGAAAATTAAGAACAAAGTAGGTACAAGGATAGTTCCCTGCGGGGACACCCACATTAATGTAAAAAAGATCTAGCACAGTGGTCATTCAAGACAAGTCTGATTTTGTGATTTGATAAGATTGTATCAAATCAAAAATTTGACCAAAAACATCATAACCCTTCAAAGACCATTATGCCAAACCCTATTAAATGTCTTTGAGATATCTAAAGCAACAGTCCAAGCTTCATGTGAATGCTTGACAGACTCTTTCAGCAATAAATGTTAACACATCAGCAGTTGACCTAGAGAAGTGAAAGCCATATTTTGTCTGAAAGAAGACTGTATGGTGCGATGAGATTTGATAATTTTCCCACTCTAATACAAATACTTGAAATTTCTAATGTAAAAAGCAAAGGTATTTTCTTTAAAAATGATTGATTACATATAAAAAATATAATTTTTATTTTTTGAACCCTTTTGATTTTGTTTCAATTAGTCATTTTTTTTACCACAAGAGTCTTTCAATTCAGATATATAATCTTTCCTTTTTCAACTGGATAAGTGAAAAAGTAAAATAATTTAAAAATTTAAAGAATATAGAAAATTCCTACCAATATTTTTCTTAGTTTGTATAATTTAAAATAAATTTGAAAAAAAAAAAGTCAATCAGCAAAGATTTTAAATAATTTTTTTGGTGAATAGGGAGATAAAAAAAAAAAGAATCCAGTTCTAAACACAAGAAAAAATTAACAAACCTAAAAAAAATGAAATGTAATTTTCTTTTTCTGTGATGAGCAACTCAATTTGTGACCTACTCAAAAGAGACATTTAACATGGTATAAACAATCATTTATTTTCCAGTTATTTGTATAAAGACAAGCAATATTAATTTACAATTGTAAGTTTAGCAATATATTCACAATATACATTGAAGATCCGATGGTATAATGACGGTATAATTCAGTGTTCAATTTGGTATGGGACATACATAGTAAAACGACCCTTCACTTTAAAGCCACTTTGCTCACTCCCATTTTCAGTTTTGAAAATTAGCGTCTTTTGTATAAAACACAGAACAATCTCTAATTGAAAAAAATGCATACACTCGTTAGTTTGACTGAAAATTAATGAAGTTATATATTTATAAAAAAAAAGTGTATCTGTTTTTAAAACAAGGTGAAGAAACTGACACTATTTGTTTGGACTATCATCCTCATCTTTGTTGCCATATTTATCACAATGTTTCGGCTGTTATATGCTCCGGCCTTCTTCAGGTGGTTGGAATGTCGAACTGAACCCTTTATTTCGCTTGCTTGGGGTAGACTGTTCTTGTTCCACGTGCTATGTAATGGATGTCAGTTATCTGTTAATTCCTCTCTCCAAGTTCTCCAACGCCTTAACCAGGTATTGAATTCACACTTTGGGTCCTGTCACTGGAACACCTTTTTATCCACTGTGCCATGTGTCCTCGAGGGGAATTAACAGGAGATAACGTGGTGATAAATATGGCAACAAAGATGAGGATGATAGTTCGAACAATAGTGTACATTATTATATATGATACCTCATCTCAGAAAGATAGTGAAGAAATTGAGTTGAATTTCCTACGCTGTGACTAGAGAACAACGAAAAATAAAGCATTGTATAAAATAAATATTTATTCATGAGAAGTATAATTGTTAAACGTATGTTCGTATCTGTTTAAGACTTGTAGTTAAGCACTTTTAGTTTTGGCGTATGAACACCGGGTTTGGCTGAAACTGTGTTGTAACGACCGTAAGCGAGCGATTTGTTGATTTTACAAAGAAGCATAGATTTGCTTAAATAAGGTATTCCGTTGCATTTCGTTTTTTAAGGTATCGGAGTTAATTTAAGCCTGAATACATTAAAAGGCGAAATACAACAGAACATAGTTCTTAACTAAATGAATTTAAAAAAAAAAAAAAAAAAGAAGAGAGTTTTTAAAAATCTTATGAATATGTACACGGTAACTGAACGGATGTGACGTATATACGTGTCTGAGATCTCAACGGAAGTCACGTTCGAGTGAGACCATATCTGATCAATCTCTTTTTCTATATTCGCAGCCATGGGTATGTAGACTTTCTTTATCTCTCCTTTACAATTGCTTTCAATCTTATTCGTTTATAATATTTTTTCTTCATCTTTACTCAGATTTTGATCATTGAATGATTCGTGATTAAGTTCTTGTAGTTTTCGTGGCAGTATTTTGCGTTGGCATTAATAAATTATTAGTACAAAATTTGCCTCCATCTTCACATTGTGTTTTTTGTAATGGTAGACATTGAAATAAAGAAATTTTACTTAACTTATCTAAAAACGTTTAGATTTGTTAAGGAACATCACTTTTTTTTTTTTAAAGACCATTCTTGCAGCAGTTTTTAGTCACTTTTTTTTTTCTTCCTCTTAGCTGTTTTAATTACCTGTCTAAAAGGAAAACTCACGTGGAGTAACTTAGTGCTCTTTCTTTACATTTCTGATTTTTCGTGATAATTTTAAACGATTAATATTAAGAATGGTTTTTAGTAATCATTCCCGGCTCGTTATGCTAGGTCTGTTTAGCAAATACGTGGAGAGGTACATGATGACTTTTCAATGCCATCTTTCGACTGAAAATATTGTTGAAATATTTGATATTCCTGATATCACTCCACGAATAAACTAGACTAGAAGCTTTATATAAAAAACGTAAAACTATGATTTGTTCTTTCATCTTACTTCTGTCAGCTGTAAAAAAAAAAAAACCTAAAAGGAATCCATTCTAATTGGGTTTTTTTTTTTTTTTTGGTGCATTTGACCATGAGTTCAAGCATTCTAGTCTTGGAATCAGATTTAAAATCCTGTTAGGGAACTTGTTTAAAATTGAATATGAATATTATTTTCCTTTTAAACAATCTCGTGATTGTTAGTGTTCATTTTGGTTAAAATTTAAATTCTTTATCGCATATTTCTACAATGAAAACCACAAACTATTCTAAATCTAAAAAAAAATTGGTCGTACATCCCAATTATTTCAAGATTTGAAATCTTTATTTTATTTCTAGGTATTGAACTTTATGGTCGGAAACAATTTCTGTGTACCGATGCTAAATTTAAATTTCTTTACTTAGCCTAATGACCATGGCTTCTACGTTTTAAAATTGAATTATTTTTCACTGAGACTTGTGGTTTTAACTTTTACTACATTTCGGATCATATTTGCTTGGCTTTTCGATGAATCATTTCCAAAGAAGAGCTCAGAATATGAAATTGAAGTGAAGAAACATAGGAAATGTAAGGGAAGGAATTCATATCTTTCTGCTATGTCTTCAGTGAATAAAAAGTTGACGTCGCGAAAAAATCACTTTTGATAGTCTTCTCAATGGTCCTTTCATTTATAATTCATGAAAATACTATTGCCAATTTACAAATGAATCAATAGAGAATAGGCGGTTTAATCTCTAAAGCGTTTTCTCGGAAAAAGGAACCAACAAGCATCCGCACGAATAGGAATAAAAATATTTAATGTATTTGAAAACGTACACACACACACACATCCCCCCCTTCTAGACTTTATATCTACTACACTAAACGAAAAGGGTTGATGAGTTGATTTCATTGTAAAAGTGAAGTTTTTACGCCTAAGAAATCCCCATCCTTTTATGTGTGTAAATTTAACGCGTTTTCATTTCTTTGAAATGTTTACTTTTTAAAATGCATTTGCAGTAAGATCTTGAACTTTTGTTCTACCTCTTCTTTGTGGTGAGTTTAAAAATGAGAATTATCACTTATTCGTAGTCTTGATAAAAGTACGAGGTATTTTATTTCTACCTGTGACGAAAAACAATTGATACTATATTTGCAACCTGTAACGAAAGCACCATTTTATATATCTTTTATACAGGCATTTCTCGTGCAAATTGGCATAAAAGAAAGGCGACGGGAGGTCGTCAGGTTCAAATCCGCAAAAAGCGGAACTTTGAGCTTGGTAGACCAGCTGCTATGACCAAAGTAAGTATATAAAAAAAAAATTAATTTAGTTAAATGTTTGAAGAAAATAATTTTCACCAACTGACTTAAACTGAAATTATTTAGAAATTTTAGTGAGTCATAAACTAGAACTGATATTTTTCTTTTAATTTACTTCTAAATTCACTTGGCAAATGATGAATAATTTCACGATGGTCTACATATATACCACTTGATGAATTGTTATCCAGAACTGATGCCATAATTTTATCTTATTTCTGTAATTGACATTTTAAATATTGTCCTCTGTCCAAATAGTTGACTGAAGTTGTAATATTTAATGTGATAATTTGAAAATAATTCTCTATGATCAGTTAAGACGAGTGTTCTTATCAATATCTTTCTTTTTTTTTTTTTTTTTTAAGTTAGGAGCTCGTAGAGTTCACACCGTCAGAACAAGAGGTGGCAACCAAAAGTTCCGCGCTCTCCGGTTGGATACTGGTAACTTTGCCTGGGGTTCTGAAAGTAAGTTGATATTGATGCTTTTAAACTTTTCTTTGTTAGACATGTGAGGATTAATGCAGAGTTTTATATGTATTTATGTTAGCATATTCTTGGTAAATTGGGCAATTAAAATTGTTTGATTTGGTTGGTCTTATCAAATAGTCATTAAAAATTTACAGTGACAATCAAAATAGTATGTTTTCAAAAGGGTTTCAAAATGAGAGTTCTGATATGACAGCATTGTTAATTGTTAAAATTACTGATTTAATTGAAAGCTTTAAGCCCTCCCCCTCATCTTTTCTCTCCCTCCCATCAGAAGACTTTCCAATTTTCTCTATTTTTATACCTGCAAGTGATGAATTTTTCACGATGGTCTACATATATATAATGATGAATATTATCCAGAGCTGATGCAGGTTTATTTTTGTGTGAATGCCTTTTCATAAATTTATAAGAAAAAAGCTGAACCTTTTTTCTTTTTCTTTCCTCTCTCTTTAAGGTATTTCCCGAAAAAGCAGAATCATTGATGTTGTGTACAATGCTAGCAATAATGAGTTGGTTCGTATGAAAACTCTTGTAAAAAGCTGTATTGTCACTATTGATGGTACCCCTTTCCGACAGTGGTATGAAGCACATTATGCACTCCCTCTGGGTCGGAAGAAAGGAGTTAAACTGGTAAGTATGCACTTAGTGAAAACGTTAAGGTGTTTGGCGGGGGAGCTCTTGGATAAAATTAAAAGATAAATTGTAAATGATTTTAGGTATTACTACAATAGATTTCCTGAAGGCTGCAAATTTTTACATTCGATTTTTCCACCTTTTTAATGTTTGTCAAGAGAAATAGATTTCTAAATGTAGAATTCATATTTTCCTGTCAAGGCATTTATGCATGTAGTACAAGAGCAGCTGTAAAATCATAGTTTTCCTAATCTATAGTATACATGTTTGTTGAAATAATAGAAATTTACTAATTCACAAAAGTAGTGAAGATCCTGGTCTTCATAAGCAGTGTTAAAATATTGCTATAATTTCTGTTCTTACTATGGATTAAATTAGAAGTCATAAAAAAAATAGTTTGTATAAATCTTTTGAAAATATGCTTATTGGGTTTTAACAATTTTCATCTTCATTATTGATTGTGTTTTTTTGGGTTTTTTTTTTTTTTTCTCTCCTTCCTCATTCTTATCAGTCAAATAATGTGGTTGTTGAGTTAAATGATGATTCTTTTTCAGCCATCTTTCGTCTGAAAAATTTGAATGTTGTCAACTCTTACCTGATAACTTGCACAACCACTTCAATGATTATTTGATATTAATTACAATTACTGTACAGTTGTGTACTTTGAAAGTTGTAGAATGTTAGGATTTTTTAAATAGCAACTGAAAATAAAAATGCAGGGGAAGAAAAAAAATTAATGATTCATCTAATTAAAGAAGGTTTTTTAAAAAAAATAATTGTTTTAAATTCATAAAAATCTTGACAATTTCATTTTCATGGGTGTTTTGTTTTTTGTGGGTGGGCATATATTGAAATTTTTAAAAGGATCTCCATGATTTTTGATGTGGGTTAAATTTTTAAACATAAGAAATAGCTACACTTTAAACTAAGTGTCTAATAAATTGAATTAAGGTAAAAAAAACTCATTTGATTTGCAAAATTGAAAGCAGAATGATGAAGTTTCTTTGCTGGAATGTTACCATGGTGACAGCAAGTCATAGTTACACTGACTGCTTGCTTTTGAAATTTTGCTCTTCATCTACAAGATTTAAAAAAGCTTGTATTTATTTTTTTACTTGAAAGTTTCATGAAGAATCCGGAATACATAAACTGGCAGTATTTTAATTAAAGAAATAATTGCAAAATTAATAGACAATAACTTTAAAATGTTTTTGTTCTTTTAAAATTAATGTAAACATTTTTACTCGAGTATAGTAAATTAACAGGAAAATAGCCAAATGTAAATTTTCATATTTTAAAATAGCTGCCTATTGATTTGACTAGAATATGGCATGGCTAAAAAATAGGTCTTTTGTGTACATGGTGGTAGTTTAAAAAATTGCTCGAATTTCTTGGGTTCCTTGAAGTATTTTGAGTGCAGATATCTGGATATAGGAAAATCAAACATGGTGCTCAAACAAAATATTAGTCAAAAAATCCCATTCGTCAGTAACATTTTTAAACCCTTCACAGAATGCAAAGTTCCCAAAGCAAACCTGTGCCAAATTGTTTTGCTGAGTTTTTGATAACTTGGCTGTCTGAAAATGACAACATCAAGATGAAATAATGGAAACCGACCGTGGAAAACAATTATATGCAACAAATTTTCGATCAATCATTTAATTTCTGATGTCTTTGGGCCATGTTATAGGATCCAGGTTTGCACTTCAATTTGGTTGTGAAAGATGTCACTCGGGGGTTAGCATTGACAAATTTTATTGCTTCTACTTCACTCTTTTTTTTTCGTTCTTCAAAACTTCAATCCTTTGCTCTTTAAGTTGGTGTGAACATCATTGAATAAAAGGAATTGGTGTATGGCGCGAATAAAAATGATGACATCTGCTAAAGTGTTGTAGTCATCACCAGGGTCACGGTGTTTAAAAAAAAAAAAATGAAACACATTGAGCCATTGTTCAATATAGGTTTGAGAAGACCCTCCCCCTTATCTTGAAAGCGGTGGGATTTACAAGTTGATGACAGCTTGTTCAACATTATTGTTGGCTGACTGGCCTTTGGCCCAAATATGCCAAAGTCAATTTGGTTTAATTTCCTTATCACTGTTATAAACTCCTGGTTTTCTGTGGTCAGGAAATGCGGATAAATCTTATGCTTTTACTAAAGATTTCTGTGGCTGTGTGCCAATTTTTGTGATTCTTTAATTGGGATAGAAAATTTAATTTTTTACCACAACAAACCCTCAAACAGCTGTGATATATATATACACACACACACCCTCCTGTAGGGTTTTAGTTGAACTAGAAAGACAATTATAATGCTTTTGTGATGTTTTAGGAAACCAAACTAATTTTATAATCTTGAGACCTAAGTACTTCAAAGGCAATTGACTTATGTGGGTTGTGTAGAAAAATTTCTTAATGTAGATACAAATAAAATTTTAAATTATGTTGCTTTTAGAGTTCACTTAGATTTCATCTATTCTAGTAGTTGCAACATCTGTTGGTTCTTTTGAAGGCAGCTAAAATTTTTTTCTTTTAGGAAGGATAGTTTCAACCCCTCAATTTGTTGAGCTTTGACCTAAGCATGAACTGGTGGGGAATTATCAATGCAATTTCCTTTTTTCTTAAAAACTTAATTGTTTAAGTCAATGAGTATTTTGTCAGCTTTAGCCTGAAATTAGTGTGTAGTTGGTCCCCCTGATATTTCAATATAGCAATTCTGATGAGTAATATGGGATTATTAAAAGGCTGATCCAAATTTGATTTGAATTTTTCATGTAGCAATCATGACATTTTAAGCTTTCTACTCATTTCTGATATAAAGAAATGTAGAAAAATTTAGAACCCAGCAAATATCAGCTTATGGATTTTTTTTTTTTTTTTTCCTCCTCTCTCTCTCCATTGTATAAATAAAAATTACCAACTGTTGCTAATACCACATTTGCAGAATGATGAAATTTCTTGGCTGTAATGTTACCATGGTGACAGCAAGTCATAGTTACACTGACTGTTTGCTTTTGACAGTTTTGTGTTTCATCCTTAGATTTACATTGAGTTATACTTTTTTTTTTTTTCTTTCTTTTTAATTAGACTGAGCAGGAAGAGGCAGTTCTAAATAAGGTCCGATCTAGAAAGAATCAGAAAAAATACATTCGCCGGAAGAAGACCGCAAAAGTAGAACCAACTTTGCTGGAAGAATTCATGACTGGAAGGCTTCTTGGTGAGCAGCATTAATTTTATTCAAGTGCTTTCTTTTAAATGCCTTCAAGTTTCATGTAACTAATCTAATGCTATTTTTGTTTTACAGCCAAAATTACATCACGGCCTGGTCAGATTGGAAAAGCAGATGGCATTGTGCTTGAAGGCAAAGAACTGGAATTCTATATGAGAAAAATAAAGGCAAAGAAAGGAAAATAAATATTTAGCTGCTGTGATGGTGGCCATTGCAAAATAAACTTATTACCAACTCCTTATTTTTAACTTATTTTCTCTAAAATAGCTATTTATGGGTGGAGTCAAGTACTTAAATTTTTCTCTTGCCTATATTTCTCTTAATTTATTAGTTGCTGAAGTGCTACACATGTAAATGTAGCAGTAAATTTAATCTTTCTGTTTGAACCCTGCTTGAATCTAACTTGAAAAATTTAAGTACTTTACTGCCCATGAGGGGTCCTTCCCACCAAAAAAACCGTCAGCTCCAGAATTTAACAGTAGAAATTGTATATACATAAAGATTTAATAACTGGCCAAGTGACGTTAAAAAGAAAAATGTATTAAAAGACAAATAATTCTCAACCTCGCTTGTTGGTACATGTATAATTTTGTGCTGGTTGGCTTGCTCTATACCAACATTTGGCCAAACAATGTTTTGTTCAGTGCATTAATGGAACAACACATTATGAAATGAAGCAGATTTTTATCAAAATGTATTGAATTTATATTATTTACATGTAGCAATGTTCTATTCCAGTAAGTTTAACACAAACTAAGACTAGTGTTAAAAACTAAAATTTGAAAATTTTTTACAATTACCCATTAAAGTTTCATTTGTTAGTAACTGGTGAGGGGGTAGGTTACCTGTCATTTATTGCACCATGTTCTGATATCTACACAAGATGGGTTGATGAAGAAAACATGAGATGAATTGTGTGGGAAAAGAATTGGGAGCAGAAAAACATCCACTTTATAAAAGATGCATACAAGTCTACTAAAATGTTTTTTTTTTTTTTATCCTTTTGCATAGTTTTCAGTGTTGATGTGTAAGAAAAAAAAAATAATTTAAGGCTGAGATGCCGTGTGTATTTATGTCCATATGCATTTCATAGTCATCAGAATGAGGAATACAAGATAAAGAAGAAAATGAAGTACATACAATAATTTAATGTTTACAGTCATTTGACTGTCGCAGAAGTTTCTCTATTGGAATCTTCCAAAGTGAAAGTTTTTTTTTTTTTTTTTTTTTCCCCTTGGGAAAAGGAGGAAGCTAAGTTGGTGAATTTCTCCCCCTCTTCTCTCATTTTGGTGAAACCAGTGATTATGGCAGATATTGTCATGATATGAATGATGAGAGACAGATTCATGCAGACTGAGATGATCTAGGCAAGAAGGGACGCTCTAGCCCAGGGTTCTGTTAATCCATGCATCAGTCTATAAATGTACACTAGAACTCGTTCACACTCATTCAGACATTAGTGAGATCAGCTGCGCATGATTCAACTGTTCATTCACTCAATGCTTGCAATGACATTAAATCTAGGTCCATATGAAAAATATCTCTAAGCAGGCGGATGGGATGCCTTTTTGATATGCACTTCCTTCCTGATGAAGCTGTTTCTAGAACCGCATTTTGTGGATCTTTAAAATTCTTCCAAGGCGCTGTTTGGCTGTGGCAAATCCTTTCTTAGGTTTCTTGGCTAATTAGAAAAAAAAAAAAGTTTAATTTTAGTACAAATATAAATTAATATTACTGAGGGAAAAAAACATCTATAATGAAAAGGTTTTTGTTACTCAATATTTTTTTTTTTTTTTTTTTTTTTTTTCCCTAGATATTTAAAGCACATTTCAAGAATATGGGGCAAGCAAATGTTTTGAAAATCTTATAGGGAGCAATAAGAGATGTTTTAACTGCTTCAAAGTGGAAGAGGTTATAGTACTTGTAGATTAGGTGTCCTAACATTTTTTTTTTTTTATTTATTTAAACACTACCAATAAATCTGTTTTCATAATTTAGTTTCAGATGATTATAAAGACCAATTGTTAAAATGTTTCATCTATTATGCAAAGCTGGTATTTCAAATGAAGTTAATAGTCAACTTGCATTTAAAAAGTGCAGGATTATAAATTGTAAAACTTGATTATATAAATGAACATTAGTAACCTCATTTCTGCAAATGAAAAGAAAAAATGAACTCACGTTTTGATGAGCAACTTAATGGCTGATTTATCAATCTATTATGAGCAAACACTCCTCCATTATTACTGCTGCTTATTCCAGGTGTAGACACTGTTGGTCCACCTGTTGAGGTTCCAGCGACAGGTGATGTATCAATGACTAATGCACCCTCCCCTGATACTGGGCTGCTTCCATTTGTTCCTGCTATATTTGTTGCAGAACTGCTACTTGAAGCAACTGGTGCTCCTGAAAAAAAATAAATAAATAATTAAAAAAAAAAAAAACACACTCTTGAATTTCATCATTTCCAAAGAGGAGTTGCTCATATATAATTTTGATCTGGTCTATAGCAAATTCTTACAGATTAAAATCTTCACATGTCAAACTATGATATAAGATTTGTGTATAAACATGTTTTCTTCAGATCATTGTCATTAAATTGTCTCATTTTCAATTGATGTAAGATCATCAGTTGAAAAAAAAAAAAATTACAATTAGCACAGGAGGCACGGTGGAGTAATGGATTGAGGAATCAGAGCTGGGTTCAAATTCCAGTTGAATCCATTATATTCACTTACATGCTAATATACCCTTGGGAAAGGGTATGAATAATAATTGTCATTTTTTGTATTTTTCTCTGAAGTGGAAATGAAGGTCTATTGTGCATGCATTTTATTCTTTGTCTTTCTCAGTGATTATAACTAAATAAGATCCAGTTACAAAGAAAGTGTTTAACTGCCCCCATAATATTTATTAGCGACGAAAGATGAAGTCTAATTTCATCCCACCATTCTATTTATACACTGATGGAAAAACCCCAGAAGGATGATTTTGACCAGAGTGCAGACTAGAAGGAAGAAGATTTCTGATGCTTTGGCCATCTAATAGATTAACACCTATGAGAAGTGGTGATGGATTAGTGCAATCAGCTGTTATACCATGAAGATGCAGACCTGTTCCTTTTGTTTAATTAGAACTATTTGAGAGGAACTAGATTGTGAGCCTTCAAGAAGCTGGATCATTTTAGAAAATTATGGTGCATGTTGGATATGATGCATCTTTGGGGTTTTGATGTTAATGATGACTTATTCCTACACTTATAGGCAAGTTTCTGGATGGCAATGTAGTACAGATATGAAGTAAAAGACAAAAGGAAAGATCTCAGTTTTTTGCTCACCCTGGCTGTTCTTAGAAACACCGTTAAGAACACCTTACTCTCGACTTCCCAGTTTCAATCTTGTTTGTTCTTTTATTGTATGGCAAAATACTCAATCCAGGTGTTTGGATTAAATTCGCATATGGGTATGCAAACTGCATCACTCTCCCAATACCCTGGATTGTCTATTGTGCATGCATTTTACTCGGATAAATCTACCTCAACTGGCTCATGTTTGAATTACACCAAAATCAATTCTGCTTACAGTTACAAATGATGCATGTTGCCACTAATTCTTTTCATGGCGAGCAAACAACACCTTGGCAACCCCTTTGTTGCCAAGATTGAAGGGTAGCAGTGTCAATCTACACAAATCTGTCTTGTTCAGAGATGAAAGCAAGTTTTGTGTTTATGTAAGTTATGGTCGTTATGGCTTGCAGTCATCTTTGGATGGGTGGCTAGCTGGTGCTATGATATTGGATAGCACTGTATGTCCAGAACATTGTTCAACATATTCTGAAGCTGTTTCTGCAACAGGAAGTTGCTATGTTGTCGCAGCAGGATAATTCTTGCCTATATGGTGTCTTAAAATGCTCCTACAGGATGTTCAACAACATCTCTGTCTGACCAGTCCCTATGGGACTAGACAGGGTGATGCCAGACTCATTCAGTTACTATACATGCAACTCTTCCTGTATTATGCCAACAGGTGCAAGATGCACTGAATAAAGTATTGCAGGATGGTAATTGCCACCTGTACAATCAGATGCATGCAAGAGTATAGGCCATGGAAGATGTATAGCATAATAATACAGGGTCTGAGTATTGTTGGAACCCCCTTCCTCTTATTTTGGGACCTGTGTACATACTGATATATAAGTGATCATTTACTGTAATCCAGCTATCTTAATTGTACACTTAGCCTTGAGTAAATTATAACATATTCAGAGTGCTGCAATATTATTTTCTGCATATATATGATAAGAATATAATTTAAGATGTCTACTCTTGTGTGTGGATCATTTAACTTGAACATCAATGAAAAGAAAAAAAAAGAATTTCAGATGTATTCTGATCGCATAGCTGCCAAGTAATCAATGTTCATTTCTATTCAAGGTCAGACTGGTTTCATTTGTAGTTCATATTTTCTATTGTTAAATAATAAAATCAAAATAACTACATATGATTTCACTCATATTGGGATGATTCTCAGTTAAACTAACAGAAGGGAAAAGTTAAGTTACTTTACTTTTATTTTGTTTCATTTGTGAAATAATTAACATCAAAAATGTTAAATTTATCTGGTTTTCTGCATTTCTGTAAAGAAAATATATAAAAATGATCTGGAACATTATTTTGAAGATATTTTTAAAATAATATTTTTTTTAACTTATTACTTCATCAGGTAAATAGAAAATTTGTGTTAAAATAAAGAATGTAATAAAGACCTGCTATTAAAGGATGGGAGAGTGCAGCATGTCCTCCTGCTGATATTGTTTCAGTTTCTTCAGACATATCATCAAGTTTTAACCTTTTCCGGTTTGTTTTCTTTGGTTTTGACTGGAGGAAAAATTGGAAAAAAAGAAAAGCTACATAAAGACAGACTGTCAAATAATTACATTAGCAATTACACAGGAAACAATGAGGATAGAGCAAAATATATAAACATAAATATCAGAACACTCTTTTTGAATACAGCTCAATGAAATACTTTGTTAAAAATTGGCACAAGGTCATATCTGTGTAGCCACTTTGAAGATTTAGAAAACACCAAATTATGAACATTGTACACAGACTGGGAAAATTTAATTGAAAGAAATCCTGAACTAAAAGTTAATCTCAAGTTTATGAATGTTAGATTTTACAATCATGTTTAAGATTACATCATATAATCTTAGGCTCCATTAACTCAGTAACAGTTTTATAGAAAAAAATCAATATTTGAAATGACTACAAAATGTGTGGAACTATTCTGTTGTGAAAGACCTACATAAGTAAAAGTCTGGAAAATTCATGAAAGAAGTCAGACAATTGGTAGTAATGTTTATTAACAATTGATGATAGAGTAAAATTCCTTTTGGGATCTCAACATTTAATAGGTTCTTACCAAAGTTGTGCATTTCTCAGAAATTCTCAAGCAGAAGAAAGTTGTTTAAACCAACAGTTTATATGTAATTTTGAAATAAGAAAATTGTTTCTTCTAGTTGTGTCACCATTTATAAGAAATGAAATATAGAATTATATGGTACTATTTCAATGTTGGAATAAAAATGTATCTTATTCAATGGGCCTCATTTGGTATATTTTAAGGAAATTTGTCACAAAGAACTTACTGATAAGTTCTCATATTTGGCAGCTGTGGCAGCCAACGTACTCTCCATAGATTCTCGCTTGGCTGAATCTCTTGCAATCCGTTCACGTTTCTCTCCAGGCACTGATACCCGAGCTGTAAATACAAACAAACAAAAAAGTCAACATAGAAAACAAGAATGTATTTTGGAAACCAGAAAAAAAAAAAATACACTTTAACTATCTTGTGATTTAAGGATATGTTGTGAAAAACACCCATTTAACATTCTTATCTAAAGTTTGATAAACTCTTTCAGCAATAGATGTTAACATAACAGCAGTTGAGAAGTGAAAGCCATACTGTTTATCTGAAAGAAGACCCTGTGAGGTGAGATGTTTAGTCAATTCAGAGTTGATTAGAGCCTCTACTTTGTCAAAAAGAGGTAGAAGGATCAGACAGATCACCAGAGTTCTTAAAGACTGGAACTACAGAAGATGATTTCCAACAAGGAGGAAAGCAAGAAACAGCAAGGCATTTATTGTAGAATTTAGAGAGAACAGGAGCACATTTCTTAAGTACTTTTGCAGGGAAACCATCAATCCCACATGCTTTGTGAGGATTCCGTTTAGAGATGATAGCAGAAACCATGATGGAGTTATATGCATATCACTCAACAGGGACTCAGTGGAAAGTCGAGCAAAGATATTCCAGATGAGTCAAGAGTAGAATTGGAAGATAATTTATGAGCAAAACATTCTGCTTTATCATTAGAAAATGATAACTCAAACTGAGTGAAAAAAGGAGGGATAGAATTTAAAAAATTATAACAAAGACGCTAAACTTGTTAGAGGCTATACAACATCTCATTTTGTCAGCAAATAAAGACTCTGTGAGGATACATTTACAATTATTACAAGCAGACAAAAATAGTGATTCCTGTGGGTTATAGTGACTGAACAGGCAGGGGTATACCAAAGAAAAGATTGCGGTTTCACCTGGTATTTCTGAGAAGGCACAAAAGCATTGATGCTTGCTTTTACCCTCTGGCATAACTCTCAATAGGAAGGTTAAAAATTTCACTCCAAGTGGTTTCGCAAAGAAAATCACAAAATGAATTCCAATCAGTATACTGGTAATAAAAAGAAGTCTTGTAAATAAGAGGTTCATGTCTAATAGACAATTCAAAAGAAATATCAACAAGCACTCCATGATCCGAATTGCCAAGTGGACAGAGTTGCAATGCTTAAAAAGAGCCAGAAGAGGAGGTAAAGAAATAAATCAAGTACAGAAGCATGTTGATCAAGGAAACAAATAGGGAAATCCACTATTTGACTTAGAGTAAATCAGTTTAAGCAATGGAAAAATTGAAAATCTGAATACTGGCAACATTAAAATGATTAAGCCACTTGACATGATAAGCATTAAAATTGCCAAACACAAAATTATTTGCGGATGAATGTAGAAAGAGAGACATTTTTATACTGTCAGGTATTTTGTCTAATATAGGCATAATAAAAAAAAACTCAGAGTGCATTAATATTGAAAGCACATGAAAGAATCATCTGGGGACTCAACAAACAATTCACTTGCCATTGGAAGATTTTCCTGTATGTAAACACCAAGGCCATGCATATGTATCTTACAATCTATTGAATAAAGTGGAAGATCACCTAGAACAGAGAATTCATTGGTAGCAATAAAAGAGTTTAAATTAGTTTTGCAAAGTGCTAAGATAATCTAGAGAACATTTCAAGAGAAAAGATTCTACATTACAGAAATTGGTATGAATACCACAAATATTTGGGAGAGAAAGATTGAGAGGGGAGTAGGTGATTTTTTTTGTTTATTGTTTTACTCATAATGCTTTTAATTTTAATTGTCATGAGAAGATTCTTTTAATTAAAAATAAAAATAAGAGGAAAAGGCCAAAATAATTGTTACTGTCCATCATGTACAAACCAGCCAGAAGGTGCTTAAGACTAAGGCATAAAGTGGCCTCAGGGTTACCCATCTGAAGTACATGCAGGGACACCTATCCATGTGTGATATTGCACTACAAATACCCTGATATTATGTGATATCTGGTACCCTCAAAATGAAAAGCCACAGCCACTAATCAGTCAGATCACCAAAAAGTTAAGACAGTTAAATCATTAAGGTCTTGGAAGAAAGGAACCAGTAAACCACATTCTAAACAGGAAACAAGGAATAAATGTTAACTACTGTTCAATAAACATGGCAGGAGGCCTGATTTGTAAATACTTAGAGCCTTACTCAAGAATACATAATCAGGAAGACCATTTTAAACATGAAAATAATGCAGTTTTAATCTTAAACAACTTAACATCATGGTATATGAACAGTTAATAAAAAATACTTAAAATATTGTACCTTTGGGATTCCAAGTTTCATCTTTCTTTTGCTTCCCTCTTGGTTTAAAGATGTGTTGGTCTTCATCATCTGATAGATCAAGAGATGTGTAAACTGAAAAAAATAATTTTTTTTTAAAAAACTGAATTTTAGTTTAAGCCAAACTAACAATATCTAAAAGACAATTTATTTCCTTTTCAGATATTTAATAATTACAAATTAAGCTATCACTATATAATATCAAAAGATATTTATATGCTATTGTGTCCAACTAGTATCTGATGAGGATGTGACATAATTTGTATCAAGTCAAATAAGTTGACTAAAATGGAAAAAAAGAGAGAAAAACCTATTGCTCTTATCTTGTTGGTACATTCCCCATATTGTCACCAAAAGTATATTAGCAGACTGAACTAACAGTTTTTCAAAAATAATAATGTGTTCACTTTTTTTAATGTAGTTGGCCTGAAAATACTTACTGTATTCCTCATCTTTATAACAAACACCCAACTGTTCTTCCTCCTCAGCTTGACTGGCTTCCCACTGTTTAACACCTTTAGCCACACCAGCTGGGGGTTTTGTGGTTCCTGAAAACAACTGCAGGCTACCCATTCGACTCATTGACAACATCCCTTGAATGGCATCTCGCATAGTAGGTGAAGGAGCCCGGCTATAAAAATCAGATGTATTGGATGAAGATTTGTCATTAACTACTACAAAATTAAGAGTGGAATTTAATCATATAAAATTGTTATTAATTATAAATAAAGTCTAAAAATTAATAATTTATCAAAATATTTAAAAATCTGCTAAACATATATTTTCTGGATAAAATTTAAAATTCACTCAACCCAAGCAATGGCTACACAACAAATATTACATCACTAGTAGCAATATCTTGAATGTTCATGATTTCTTGGTACAATGATACCAACACATCATAACGACAAAGTTTTTTATATGCGTAAAAATGGCAACATATTTAAATCACTAATCAATATTAATGTTTTATTGCCTTTTACAAAAACATGCATTTTTCCTGTATTTTTATTTTATGGGAAGAATTTTAAAGCAAAAGTCCAAGTTGTCTATCAGAATGAGTCATTTTACATTATTCTCATCAATTTTTGATAAGTAAACTTTCAGGATTGTAGCTGAATCTTTATTAGAAGTATTTGGGCAATGTCATGTATATTTTATAGATAAAAGCATGATAAATATATTAGATACAAACTTAAGAAGAAATATAAACTAATATTATAAGAAATAAAAAATAAATAAACAAATGAATAGTGTACACTGTATTTAGAGAAATACTAAAAAGAGTATATAAGTGCATTTAATATTTTAAACATTATCAAACATTGCTAAGTACATAAGAAGAGTGTTAGAATACAGAGAGCTGACACTTACACATCCTCATCGACTTGGAAGTCAGTTTCTGTCCCATAGCCACTGGCTTCCAAGATGTCAGCAATGCCACAGTTGAGCCCACCCCTAATAGTGGGCATCATCATTCGTTTTGACTGCTCAGTCTCTGTTACAGAGAGATCCTTTTTACTAGCAGTTACACTGCCACCACCTTCCTCTTCAGCAATCTTTGCCTGCATTGCCACTTGTTTGGCATACAGTTCTGCTCTGAGGGCAGCCACTATCTCAGGTTTCTTAGATTCATGCATTAAGCCTGTTGACAACTGTAAAAAAATTATTTAAAGTTTACTACTTGATTAACATTTAGTAATCTGCATCATTTATAAATATTACTTTCCCTTTTACTGTATAGTGAATCCCTTCAAAATATAATCTTTTAGAACTAATATGTTCTATATATTTGAAATTGTAATAGCCTGGCTTTGAATTTCCGTCAAGATGTGTTGCCATAGAAGGATATGATTACACAACCAAATTCAAATTGCATTGGTAGGAGTATCATTTTTTTTTTGTGAAAATAGTCACCTACAGAGTGCTAAAGGTTTTAATAAGGTCTGCATTTTAAAGAATTTTTTAAAGTTCTTTAATAGATGTATTATATTATTATAGTAGATGTTATGAATTCTATTTGAATATACTTGTCTATATTGTAATGGAACTAACTAATGAAGTGCCATAGATATTTTGATGAAAAAAAAAATCAGTCCTACGAAGAGAACTTTTAATTCAGGAAATCTTATCAATAGACAATGCACAAAAGAGATTTAAAAACACATGAAACTAAGGTAAAGCAAGATTAAAAAGTGATGTATCCAGTTAAGATTCACACTTATGTGTACATGCACACTACACTGCAGTAAAGTATAACATTAATATACATGTGATCAAAACTCTAGATTTGGTAGGTGAGCAGTCAGATTTGCATGGTTGCCAAATAGTTAATGCTTTATAAAATAAAGCAGCTTCAACTCATAAAAGCATAATAAATATAGACTGAGTAAAAAGAAAAAATGCCATCTCTGTACTTACTTTGGTGCCACCTAAGAGGTCTGGAGGTTTTAACTTAACTGTGTTGCCTTCAGAAATCTTTCCTTTCAATACAGGTGCTTCAGGAGGTTTCATCTTTGTTGAAGTGTTGTCAGCCTCTTTAATTTTGGCGGGTAACATTTCAAGTGGTTTAATTCTGGTTCCTAAAGTGTCCAGTTTAGCCTTGCTCAAAAGGCTTTCACTCTTTAAAATGCTAGCCAACTGATCCACCTTAAAATCCACTTTTGGCAAGCTACTGGTTGCCTCTTCTTCCTTTTTGCCACTCACTTTGGTCTTCAAATCTTGACTGGCGCTGGCTTCTTCTGGCTTTTTTAGTTTACTGGCCGTTTGATTGACTGACTGGTCAGCAGCTGTAGACTTTTTAGCCAAAGACTCCAATTTGGGACTGCCGAGAGAAGACTTGTCTTTAGCGGTCAAAGGTTCCTTGTTATTTGAAAAGGCTTCAGACAAGGGATCTGGTTTAGCCACACCTGCAGACAGGGGTTCTGGTCTTTTGTTCAGAAGAGAAAGTGGGTCTGGTCGAGTTGGAGTTAAAGATAAGGGATCTGGTCTGTTTGATAGGAGTGATAATGGATCTGTCCGTTTTGAAGTGAGAGATAGTGGGTCAGGTTTTTTGAGTAATAAGGATAGGGGATCTGGCCTAGCAGGAGTAAGAGAAAGAGGGTCTGGTCTAGATGGGGTTAAAGACAATGGGTCTGGTCGTTTTGAAGCCAAGGAAAGAGGATCTGGTTTTTTGGAAATCAGAGTTTGAGCAGGCAATGTAGATGCTTTCTGAGTATGTGACAAAGTTTCTGGAATTGGTTTATTTGCAACAATCTTTTCCTGTGCTGGAGTTGGAGCAGGACTTTCACTACTCGTTAAAGATTCAGATTTTACATTCAACAACAAATTTTCTACTTGGGATTTTTTGACCAATGAGGCTTCATGTCCTTTTGCTGTTGTTACCAATTCTATTTTGGGTTTCTGGGAAATAGTGGCTGCTTTTAGAGATTTTGCTGTTGATTTCGGCTTCTTAACACTTGCTTCCCCCTTGGTTTTCTTTGGTGTAGTTTCTGCCTTTACTTTTTTCAAAACAGGTTGTTCCCCTTTTGTGTCCAAACAAGCAACTTTTAAAGGTGACTCTCCATTGACTTCAAATACTAAACCCTCAGGTTTAACACTCATATCAGTCACTTCCTTTTCCTTCTTTGGCCTGCCTTTGCTTTTAGAATCACCTGAGGTTTTTTTTTGTACAACTTCCTCTTTAGTTTTCTTAACTGTTAATTCCCCTTTAGGTTTTTTAGCTGGCAATTCACCCTTAGGTTTCTTAGATCCTGCCTTATTCTTTTTAGTTGGAGGTTCACTTTTAATTTCTAGTAGGGGTTCAAATTTTGTTTCTAAAAATGGAGATTCATATTTATCTTCTGGCAACAATGGTTTCAGCTCAGCCAAAAGTAAAGGCTCTTCTTTTTCTTTTCCTTTAGCCTTTGTCTTTTTGCCTGAGTCTCCTTTTGGCTTTTTCAATGTCACTTCTGCTTTACTTTTTTTGGGTGGAACACTATCAATCTGAACTGTAGTCTCCGCCTTTGTTTTCTTTGGTGACGCTTTTTTTAATTTGGGTTCCCCTTTTAGCTTTTTGACTTTCTTATCTGGTTTTTCCTGAGTAACTGTTAAGTTTTCTTGTATCAGAGATTCAGGGTCGATCACCAACTTCTGTGGCTCATCATCATCCTTCATCTTTAGAAGCAGAGAATCTTGGCCTATCCAGTTTGGAATTTCAGCAGGAACTTTGATATTTAAATGTGACAGATCAGGTTTTTGGCAGAGTTGACTGTCAAGTACAAGTTCACCTCCTGCAAAAAGGACAAAGGTTATAATCAGAATTGACATGTTGGTAGATTCACTGGTAATAATCTCTAATTGTCCAATTTATGAAGTTTAAAAATTATTCATAGAAATAAAATTCTTCCTCTTACAGACTTCTACAAAAACATACATTCTGCTTAACAGTCTATGAAACATAATCTAAGATGTATGGAAACAGTTTTCACTCCCAGTGGCTCAAGTTTATTGTTTGTATAATAGTAGTTTTAAAAAAAATAATGCATCTTATCAGAGTGAGTGAAGTCAATTATATCCTATGTTGTTAATAAATTTGAAGGAATCTAAAAAGCCTTATTCAACAACTGGCTATAATCATAAATCAAGTATGGAGAATTTTAAAATTCTTCTCAATTCTGAAGGAGCACCTCCCAATCAATGTTAGTTTTTTTTTTTTTACTAATTTATTTCTGAATACTTTTGCTTCCAGATAAGTAAAAATGGATGCAATTTCCATATATTCTCTTTAAAAAAACAAATGTATATAGATTCATTAAGCAAACACTTGATTGGGCTTAATTCTATTAAGTGAGCAGTTTTTATTTGATGACCTTGAAAAAGTATGGCATAAAATTCAACCTATTTATAAACTGGACTTTATACATATATATTATATATATATATATGAATGAAAAAAAAAATATAGTGGTAAGAAAATAAAGCAAATTGCCAACAGACCAAAAGTTGGAATTGAGGTCGCTGCAATTGGTTTGGCTTGCTTTCCCTTTCCTTTAGGAGACTTTGGTTGGGCTTTCTTAGGTGTCTTTTTGGTAGCCGGTGTTTTTGCTGTTTGATTTTTGGTTTTTGGAGCAGGAGGCTTTTTTTCTGATAAATGAAAATAAAAATTAACTTCCTTGTAAATATTTTAAGCACTAATTAATAAAACATTAAGAAATACCAGTTTTATGGTTAAGAAATGAACAATTAAAATTATCTATTTTCAATACATAATTATATTTACTGTTTAGACAATAGATTTTGCATAATCTGAAATTCTGAAGTGAAATACTACTATTCAAAGATTTCTTTTTCTGATTAGCATCCCCATCTTTGAAGATACAGTATATATGTCAGAAAGTTTGTCAAGTACACAAGTTACAAAATATAAACAACAGGGATAATGAAGTGCTGAAATGTTATTTAATTATAGTTTGTTGTAATAACCACATTTTTCTCCTGTTTAAAACAAGTTATTGAATCATGAAGGACATTTGTAGGGAAAATTGAATGGCATTTATAAGACAAATAGTTAAAATAAATTATGAAAGACAATAACTGACCTTTTTTGGATGCTGGTGTTTTCCGTGCTTGTTTAGGTGGTGGAGGACCTCCAAGTTGTGCATCTGTTGCTTCACCATCTTCATTTGCATTTTTTCCAGAAACTTAAAAAGAAAATAAATGTTTAATTTTAAGCTTCACTCTCCACAACTTAAAGAACAACATTATCTTATCTTTTTTTATATAACTTCAAATAATACAACATTGATTTTTTGACTTCTCTTACTTCAGAAACTGGCTAGATGATTTTGCTAGAATAAAGTAAATTATAATTCACACCTATTCATCATTACTAAGTATTTATACCATTTTTCACAATTTTTCTAATACTGATTTGATTCATTGTCAGTAAAGAATATCAATATTACTGCTTACTCTATTTTGTAACAATAATACATTATGAAATCATGCTTTCCTACATGTTATAAAACTTAGACACCCCTCTCCAAATATGCATCAAAGTACAATGAGGAAGATGTAAATTGTATAGACATTTCTAGGTAATACATGCATAAAGTGGTTAACTTTTGAAATAATTATTCAGCAGACTTTATGTTGGATTTGGATGTATAGATAGTCTATGTCTATAAAAGAATGGGTTGTACTTGATTAAAATTGCTCTTCCAAGCTATTTTGCTTTAAAACTTTTATGCATTTAAATATGTTAGAATTGGAACACAGTAACAAAATCCTAAATACAATAAAAATGAAATGAATGAAGCTACATACATGATAATTTCAGTTTTAAAGAACCTGCTTTAGCTGTACCTCCACGTGAATTACTTTCACCCGATTTGTTTTTCTTTCGAACTGTAGGTGATTCATCAACTACCAGTTGATCAGGATCACTATCTCTATCATCATCAAAGTCTGCAACCAGTGGTTGAAATTTTCCAGTCGTAAGCACATCTGGCTTAGAGTTGTCACTAAAAAGGAGAAAAGCAGTCTTACTTGTTTACAGCAGCCAAGGAAGGACAATTGAACTGAAGGGGTAATGTGAAAGGTGAGATTGAAGGAAATAATAACTTTAACTGGCTTTACAAATTAGTCTTAGCATAAATGATTTTATACTCTTCTTTTTCTAAGTAGATTATCAATTAAGCTAAGAAGAATTAGAAGATGTGAATCCTCTTTTATATTATGATTACACAATAATGGAAATATAATTTTTTTTTTTTATTTAACTTTTGTCATTAATTACATTTTTAACCTTTTTTTGGGTGGGAGAGTTAAAATTGATTGATTGTTTTACTGCACATCAAAACAAATGGATCATTTAATGCTTGAAAAAAATTTCAGGTGAATAATTAGAGTTATTTTCTTTTGGAGCAGTGGATAATATAGAGTAAAAATTCCTTTGAGTTTTTTTTTTATGGCAGATGGAGGTGGGGCTGATAAAATTGGTTACAAAACAAAGTAGGTAAGCAGGTTTGGTAAAGAGATTTTTTTTTATATTTTCCTGTAGAGTCTAATTTCTTTAAATTTATGATGCTACTTTGATCAGTATTTTAAAATAGGTCCTTTAAGTTATCCAATTTGTAGTATTTGCTTCAGGTTTGCTGAAAGTTATAGATATTTTAGTAGTAGGTGTATGATCCCTGGCAATGCGATACATGGAGAAAGTTAACCGAATTTGTACTATGACTTGTAATACAAGGGAACGATAGATAACACTTGAATTGGTCAAATTAATTAAAGTGATAGTATATTCTCAGTTAAAAAAAAAAAAAAAAAAAAAATTATTAATTAAAAATAATTTTTTAAATATTTGCCAAAACTTACCCTACAATCCTACCATTGGAGACTTTCAATTTGAGAGAGGAAATATCCACAGGGTTGACATTTTCTTCTTCTTCCTTGGCAGTTTTCAACATATTGTCAAAAAATGCTCCTGCCTTAGGAATACGCATCTTAAGACTGGTAGGTGGTGGAGATGGGGGTTCATCCTGTATACAAAGAATAGGTACATATTTATATAATTATATTTAAAACATACTGTTTCTGCCTTTTCAGAACCAATAATTTTTTTTTCAAAGTTATTATTAAGTTTTGTAGCTTTTGCACAAACATATGCTTCAATTATTACTCACTGGTAGACTGTAGAACTTTTTCCTCATTTGTGTCAGAGAAAAATTTTATAATTTCAGTGAAGGAAAACTGATTTCAAATTGAAGAAAAAGGTCAACTTTCAGTTGAAGTTTAACCTTTATCATTCTGTATGCAACTTTATTTGCTGTACAAAAGGTTTATTCTGTCACTGAAGGTGACTGATCCCTAAATTTGAATTTCATAGTTGTTTTGTCATATCCTGTTATGACAACAGAAAACAACTTTGAGTGAAATTAGCAATAAGGATACTGCAATTGATAGGCAGTGAAAAGAATGCAGTGGAAAGGGAAGTAATATTGATAATGCAGACTGCTAAAGGTTAATAGCTCTAAAATCAGTTGACCTTAACTAATGTAAATATCCACACACATGCAGGCACAAAGCACTTTGGATTTAGCTCAAGTAATAGAGTATGGGAATAATGTAGGCAGTTTAGTGTTGCATTTCAAACACCAGATTGGAGTTTGTTTTTTGTTTTTTTAAATCAGGCTCGTCATTTTTGCATGGAATCACCTAAAAAGAGATTATTAATAAAATCATTCCTTAATTTCAATTTCAAGATAAATTTAAAGTCTAAATATTTACTGAGAAAATTATTTTGAGTTATCATCATAATATTTCAACCAGACAAAAAAAAATTTGAGATTTGAGAAATATAGAAATTTCTCTATAATCTCAACTTACAGAGAATGCATAGACATTTTTGTGTTCTTCATTTTTATGTTCTTGTTTTTGCAACTCTTGTAACTTTTCTGTTGTATGTTGATGCAAAATGTCTAAACTCTGCATCTGTTTTGCAGTAGGAATGTTCTTTTTTCGACGTTTGCGTTCCACTTTAGGCTTTGGAGAAGTTTTCTGCTTTTTGAGAAAAGAAAAATAATACAATTAATGTTGACAGTAACTAAATGTAAAAATGGTTGCATTTAAATAAATCCAAAATGTAGCCTCTAAAAAAGACATGATTAAGAAAAGGTAAGAGCTTGACTAGTCTAATTTATAAATATAGCAGATTTAGAATGCAGATGACCCATAGATTTCAAAATGAGGTGTCTAAGTTGGTATTAGAAAAACTGACTTTAAAAACAGAGCTTGATCAGAAATTTAAAGCCAAGAAAAATAATGAAAAGACTTGATGCAATGGGGCATATTCCCTTATTTTGATAAATTGTAGTTTGTATCTTCTAGAGAAAAATAAATAACTGAAGAATATCAGAATGTAAACGAGTAAAAAGAAAAAAGAATACATAAAGTTGGATACAAAGTTTTTAAAAAATATTTGCAAATATTTTAACAAATTACAATTTACATATTCTGCTTTACTCTCATAAGTTTAAATAAACTGAGGTTGCCACACACAAAAAAAAGACAGACAAAAAGACTAACTTGCACTTCAAAATTCCGAGATACTTTAATAAGTTCTTTTAAAAGCTTCCCATACTGAATGTGCTCAGGAACATCATGTTTTGCTGTTTTTGCATACTGAAAATCCACAAAGAAAATAAAATCAAAAACAAATTGCAAAGATGCATTCATAGCAGAAATTAGAAATTTTTAGCTGCAAATCAATACAGTAGAAATATTTATAATTAATCTTCATGTATAGGAATTTATTTCTATATGGTATGTGTTATTTGAGAATATATATGTATGTTATCATTACATAGAATTTTTAAAAATACAAATATTTTTATTTCTATTTAACTAACAAGTCACTTCTGAAATGACTTTTCCTTGTGTAAATTACATTTTTCTTTTACATAACACTTATCAACATGGCTATATATCCTTTCATCCAATATTTACAAGTTGTTTACATCTTTCTTTTTAAAGCAATCATCCATCTAGGTGTCATCACTGCTTGCTTCTACATTCTTAGTCATTTTTCTACATTAAAAGATGAAGAAAAATATCCTGTTAAAACTTTAATTTGAATTTTTTTATATTTCTTATTTTCAACACACTTGTATTTGCCAGAATTTGTCATATAAAACATTAATTGTTTAACTATTTAAACATAACTAATCACAATTTATTTGAGGTAAAATCAAACTGTCATAACAAAATAGAGAAATTGGTACAGAAATATTACTTTGCATAACAGCAAATAAAATTCATTCCAAAGTAATGATGCTTGCTGGATACAGTGGGTTAAAATTATTCAAACTCATAAAAATACTGAATTATATTTTAGGCTAACTGATAAGAGTACCTAATGTTCCATCATTATATATTACCTGCAAACTCTTCAAGTGTCATTTCAGTTGCTTTCTTTTTTTTACTTAGTAGCATTTGTCAAGCAATGAAGGATCATATAACTGATGAATTTTGGTAATTTCATGAATTTCAGAAAAATTACTCAGAATTATCCTCTGCCAAAACTGCGTCAAGACTCATTTGGAAATATTATAACATAATTTAAGTGTCAAAAACAGAACATTAAATAGAACAAATCTCTAATTTGAAAATAAATGTGCCTATCTTTGGCTTACATATAAATGCACAAAGTACAAATAATCAGACAAGAGAAATATAGCAGATAACAAAAAAGAAAGAAACTGGAGTACTTACTTGAGGGAGGAGCATCAGGTCTGAAAGTGATTAGACAAACAATAAACTGCCCCTTTCCCTTTTCTCTCTTCCAAAGGTGAGTAAATTGTTAGTAGTTGCAAGTGTAAGAGAAGTAAGAAAGAGATGCAAAAAGCATAAATGGGTGTGGGGAAGGAATGAGACATTGTCACAAAAGATAGGCCTAAAGCAGACATGCAAGTTGTTTGATGTTCTTAATATGAACATTTTTTTTAATAAATTTTAATAGTTAAAAACAATAAGCATGGATAAACTTTCTTCATTTGAAAAATAAAACAAAATGTTTGTGTTAGAAGTCAACAAAAAATTTGAATGTGAAAAGTTTTAGATGACAAAAACTACTACAAAATTTTAAAGTTGATATGAGAAAAATTATTTCAGTTAATAAAAAGTTTGTTGGTATTTTTTGTCACAAAATGTAAGTCTAAATTGTGTAATCATCTAAAACAATAAATCATTATCAGAAATCACACACACACACACACACAGGAAGATACATCAGACACTCAATTGCATTCATCATACTTATGCATGCAATGGATTAAAATCTTGAACACTAGTAACCAATAGATAAAACAGAATATGTAGTAGATAAAAGTTGTATAAATAATGATACATTAACATAATGACAACAAGTGGTGTATAATGATAGATCTGCAGCAATGACCAATTGAATCAACAGTAATCATCCAAGACAATGTGAAACTATTATACAATTCACTATAAACAAAATTTTCTGACACTAGAGTGGCATTATTATTTATTGAATACAAATTTGAATGCAATTTACATATACAATGACATTCATACCAATCATACAGCACCAGGTACAGTTTTGAATTTATAAGACCACATTCATCATACAAGCAAGATTTTATAGTGGCAGAAAAAAAAAAGAAACTGTTTTTATGGCTTTTAGAAACTTGCTGATCAAGTAATGTTTGATTTACTAAGCGTTTCAAAAAGACATCATGTGCCTGAGATTATTAGAAAAAGAAACCAGTACACTTGCTATTGCAAAAAGATTTATGCTTGTGTCGATATTGCAAAGATGCGAGTGTATGACTGTAACTTTATGAAGAGATGACATATACAGATGGCTATTGTTAAGATGAATAAAAACACATGACAAGGACAGTGTGTGTATAAGGAAGCATATGCTTGTTTTTGTCAAATAACAATTGTATACTTGTTGATCATCATTTTCTTTTATTGGTATTAAAAAAATCCTTCAAAAATATTAAACATGTTTTTTTACTAAAGCAATGACTCCAAGGACAATGTAGTACTGAGCACTTTTAATGAATTTCTGAATGAAGATACTAATAAATTACTGAATCCTTATGTAGTAATCAACAGTTCTTCAAATTTCAGTTGTATACCAAGAAAAAAATGTGTGTAAAGTGAATAACAGAATCCATATGTATTACAGGTACTGCAACTATTAAATGGATCTTTAATAAAATGCATATATCATTAATGAAGCAAGTAAGACTTGCATATGAAAAGAATTAAGAGACTGAAGATATTGAATTAGAGTCAAAGGTTATTCAGATAGCAAATAAAGACTGTCAAAATGTCAATGTTAGTGCATTCATCGTATATAGAAGAGAATTATTGGTAAAAATCAAAAGAAACTAGAAGAGACATTATTAATTTAATAGATTTTGAAGCAGTAAAACAATCTATTCAATAACACTTAATAAAAGTCAATATTGAAAAACAAACTTCCAAGTCATATTTTGAAATGAAAAAACATTTCATTATTTTGAATATTTTAAAATGTTTCAGAAATATTTATACAGATAATATAATAAAAGGATTTGAAGTTAACTTTAGCATTCAAAATCCTTCAAGAAACTTAATTCCTAAGAATGAAAACTACGAAATTAACTTCACTTAAAAGTAATTGGCCAATATTAAGATAAGCAACCATGTTGAAACTAGAAATTTATATAACAAACATAAGAAAGCATGAATAATAATAGAAATAAGAATGATCTCCATTTAACTCACTAAACAATTTCCTTCACTTTTTAGTAGACAAAAAAATGAGCAAATCAGTCATTATGCCACCATAATATTTACTCCTATAAACCTGAATTTTGAGTTTCTGCAGTATATGATCTAGTAGGGATATTGTTATATGATGTATAAAAAAAATAGAACCACACATATCAGGCATATATCCAGTGTGCATGGGCAATATAAAAAGAATTAAATCATATTTTAACAAAGAAGTCACACCAACACATCACATATGAAGAGGCTAAGCTTTAAGGTTTTTAAAAGTGTGAAAGAGTGTGTGGAATATACAAATTGATTTTAGGCTGATCAAATTATGAGGAAGCAAAAGATATGCTTTATGATGAATTAAATAACAAGAAAAGCAAATAAATAATCAAATATTTTGTTACAGTTAGTGTAATTTTGAGAGATTTCTTGTTATTTATGGAATCTTCTAATATACAAGATTGCTTACACACTAAATTAAAATTTTTCAAAAAAAAATATTTCATCGGGCCATTGTAATAAATGAATACATTTTAATGATTTGAAGATGTATTAGTAAACCTTCCTAACATCTCTTTAGGAAAGCATATTGATAAATCATTGGAAAGTCAGTAAATTAATTTTTAATGTGAAGTTTAGGCTGTTCATTATATATTTCTGAAAACTGTGCTTTGTGATCAAATAATTTATTATTAATGCAAGGTATATATATCCTTAAGCTAATTGTGTGCAAAATTTATGATGGAAATTACTGAACACTTGAATGTTAACTTATTACAAGTATTTAATGACTTCTTAAAAGCAAGACAGAACCAAAAAAAATTACTAAACATTTAAATTTTTATTCAACTCTCAATCCAAGGGAAAATAATCAGTCCACATTGGAATTGAGAACCCATTGGTGCTATACAGTGACAGATTGTTGTAGCATACCTACGGATGATAATGGGTATGCCCCCATTCCCATAAATGCAGTAGTGAATACTGTATGTGTTGGTCTGCAGTTTGCAGTTGGAGATTCATTGTGGAATTCACTTGACTCGCTTCTCGCAGTTGACTACTTCTACATGCCGATGGTGAATCTTATATGTGTTGTTTGTGTACTAAGTATTATCATTCATTACCAACCTTTGTATGATTATTCTATTCAGTAACTTTCCCTAGGTTACAACACAGAAACAAGTAAAAAAAAAAGTACATCATCCGGAAATATTTTTAAGATAGAAAGACTGAAGAGAAAAAAATGACTGATTGGAAAAGCATAATTACATGGATGATTTAAATTAAATTTAAGATTATGAGCTTTTCACTTGGCCCAAGATGATTGCATGATGAAAAAGAAATGTACTCAGGAATATTCTCATAGTAACAAAACTTATTAAGCACCATAACCACCATTACTGGTATTAGCCTTTGAAAAATTGCTAGCTTACTTTTCTGTATGGAGCCAATATTTTTGATTTGAAGTTTTTTAGGGAGAAGATATCAATATTGACAATAAAATAAACCTTTAATGATAACCATTGTTAGAAGAGATAAGTAAAAAAGCATCAACTCATTGTAAAAGTATGGTAAAATGTATATTAAGATAAATAATTTGCAGGGATTGGGTACAGAGTACAAGTGACTAAATAAATTTCATAGAGCCCTATTAGAAATTATTTTAGATGTAATTCATTTAAAAAAACAAAACAAACTCTATAAAGAATTAAATCTAAAAAATATAAATACCAAAACAATAAGATATGACCCAAAGCATATTTCAATAATTGAGTACCAAATACATTAAGGCTACTGTTACTAGACAGTGAAATAAGAAAAATTGCAGATAGGACAAGGTGGCAAGATGACTATAGATTTATGTAATGCATTATAACCAG